TTATGTGGAGGTATCCCATCTTGTTGAAACCACATATTCAGTCGAGTTTGTATTGGTAGATTCGGCAACACATGTCGTAGAAAAACCAAGTACCTCTTCCCATTGGGAATTCCTTCGAAAAAATGAGGTCCTATCAAGTAACCATCAATGATTCAGCACCAAACATTAACCCCCCACACAGACTAAAATCTCTACTCTTGCACCCAATGAGGGTTCACGTCAGACCAATAGTGACAATTATGTTTGTTTATTATACCGTTGTTATGGAAACCGCTTTCATCACTCCATAATGATTTTTTCAGAAACTGATCATCATGAATACGGGTGGACAACCATGCAATGAAGTTCAATCTTCTATCATCTATCTCCTGAATATGAAAATATATTTCAGTTAATAAAAATGAAACATGGAGATTATTACCTGGATGTAGTCCTTGAACCAAATGAATTTTGTATGAATGGAATTTGTTTTTCGACAAAATACGTTGTATTGACGATTTCGAAATGTTACAATGTATTGCTACTTGTTTGGTAGAACTATATGTTTCCAACACCATTTGACCTAGCACTGCACTACTGTGATTCTCATCAGTAGCCGTTTTTGGTTTTTCGCTTTCGCTTCCGTTCATTAAAACATCAATTTCGTGCCAAAGATTTGGCTAAGCCAGCGAATGTTTTGTCTGACGGTAATTTTCTGTCAGAATATTGATTAGCGTATATTCCCACTGCTTCTTTTGAATTCCTTCTTGCTTCGCCATAAATACATATCATTTCCAAATTTTCTGCATTTGGGAATTGAACAATTTTTCAAATTTACGAAAAACCAACACAAAACTGAATACATTTTTGTCGAATCTGACAGGTCTTCTGACAGAAAGATTAATACATTATTGCATTTATTTTGACCTGTTCATGGCCCTCTTTATAATATGCAATAAAATTGCCTTTTTTCTTCAGTATTCAAGGAAAACTACAAGTGTGCTATATGGCTAAATTCAGAATTCAATGCAGAATTCAAAAACCTATTCAAAATACTGGGTTACCATTTTAAAAAATGTCAGTGTCGCGACGCCCTAACGGATGACCCCTAGTGCTGGATCTCTACGTAAATAAGAGTACCGTTTGACACGAAAATTATCTGCTTTCACGAAATATGAATATTCCTTTTCATTTTTTAGATATTTGACCGCAGAGTTTTATATGGGACACCTTGTATACATTTCTATAATTCGGTTTGGTCTAAATAGTCACCAACACTATATGGTTCTGAATCTATTAAATATGTTTTCATTTCTTTCTTAGATTTCTTTATGCTCCTCAAATCTTTAATTCGATTAGGCAGTTTATTGTACAGCTTTATTGACATGTAATGAGGAATTTTTTCTGTTATGGTTAACCTATGTCCTATGTATAGGTAGAAAGAAATCATTTCTTCTTGTTCCATAGGAATATTGGTTAATATTGTTGAAGAACAGATGCCTGTTTTTTAATACAAACATTAAACATTCATAAATATAAAGAGCACAATCGTCATTATCCCGTTATTCTTGAAGACATATCTACACGATAGATTATACTTCAAATTACTCATCATTCTGATTGTTTTTTTCTGAAATACAAATATTTTATTTATATTACTATTGCTTCCCCAAAATATGATTCCATATCTAGCTACAGACACTCAACATTGGAAAAATATAAAATTTTTACCTATTCTTTGTTGAGATATTTGTGAACCACCCTTAGTCCATACGAAATTTTGCTCAATTTTGTAATGGATCGTATGGTATCTCAGGGTTGTAGTGGATCCAACCTGGTTCTTTGTAGTGAAAAGCAGAAATGTGGTAGACTGTTTATTCTCAGATGACTTGACAAAACTAAAATAGTGCACGTTTAGATTTACCCTTGAATTTTATATCCTTACCTACCTAAAATAGTGCAGGCACCAACCATATATCAAAAGGATAATATTATGAGTTTTATTCAACCAAAAGCACGAAAACAGTTTCATCAATGTGTCGATCTTTTCTGACTTTTAAATGGCCTTTGCAGTAACCACGATCGAAATAGCCGTTGCCGTTTTTATGTGGAACTAAAAAAACTCGCCTTGAAAAACCTTTCTCGAGCTGCTAATCGTAGCCCTGCCTAGAGCACATAGAAATGTATTGTGGGTTCTATAACGAAGTGGCGCTGTGGAAATCACGTTTCGCTACATCTGTCCCCCCTCAAGATGAATACTTTCNTTCCTCCATCTTTTTGACTTCACTTCTGTGAATCCCTCTTCATTTTCCAGTTCTGATTTTTCTGATTCAGAGGACTCGTTAATTATATTTTCTTTGAACGACTCGGTATTATTCTTGCCTGTCCAAACAAAAGGTTTTTGTTGGCTAGCACTTTACGGGTTTTTATTCTTCGGTGAGAACCATTTTTTGTTTCAATAGTTTTTTTGGCTTCTTGGGAATTTGTACTCGTATTTGTTTTAGGTTTTTTGTTCCGCTCCGTGAGGTTATTGACTTTTTCCTCCAACATTTATTTTCAAAAAAATTTTATATTTTTCATCGTTTTCGGATAATATTTTCATGAGCAACTCATTTTCTTTTTTCAACCATTCTATGTACTAATCTTAGTTACTCTCCTGTATATCAGTAAACTTTTCATCTACTACTATATAACCTTTTACCCATTATTTATCTGACATTTCAGCTTTACAACATAAGATTCGTGTTTCATCTATTATTTGAAACATTTTTGGTAAATTTTCGTTTCGAGGGCACCTGCCGATTTTAAAAACATTTTTGAGTGTACTTACGTATTTTGATGCGTAGATTACGAATCCGAAAGAAAAAAAGGGCGCTCCCTTATTTACAAAGTTACGGCCCTTCAAAGTTCAGAAAAGAGCAACTTTTAAGCCTTCTTTTTCACAAAATAAACTATTTAAAAACACAAGCATTCATTCACTAGGTAACCTTAACACCTCATTCCTTCTTCTTTGACACTTTTCACTTCAATAATCAACATTTTTTCAATAAAAATACTGGAATATTTCCGGACGTTTTTAAAATTTCGAGAGTAATAGCCTTATTCAAAAAAGGTTCTAGATCTTCACCGGATAATTATCGCCCAATTAGCATAATACCTATATTTGGGAAATTAATTGAGATAATTTTGAAAAATCGTTTTTATTCCTATTTTGAAAAACGGTTCTACCTCAACAATCCACAGTATGGTTTTCGAATAAATAGGTCAACTACCCGAAGGGCTTTTAAACTAGTGTCGAACATAGTCGAAGGTCTTGATCAGGGAAAGCACTCTTCTTTAACATTATGTGACCTGACTGAGGCATTTGATTGTGTATCGCATAATATTTTGATTCACAAAATGAGCTACTATGGTGTCCGGCGCACAGTTCTTAAGCTCGTCCAATCTTATCTAACAAATCGGGGCCAATTTGTTTTTTCTCAGGGATCCGTTTTAGGTCCACTATTGTTCTTGATCTACATCAATGACCTATGCAGTCTCATGGAACTAGCAAGCAACAAACTTACCTTGAATAAAGATAAAACTCAAAATAAAATTGTATCTTCCAATTGCATCATTCCCCAATTTAAAAGTGTTGAGTTTTTAGGATTCACTATTGATCATGGATTGAGCTGGTCTGATCATATCAAAGCTATGTTCAGCAAACTATCTTTTCAACTCCCAACATACTATCTGCTTCGGAGTTTGTTGGGGTTGAAATCATGTCGCTAGAATTGCAACAGCCGCTTCTCCAAAATTTGTAATTTTTTTTTGCTTTATAAAGCTCAGATCAGACCTTCTTTGGAATATTGTTCTTGTGTATGGAGCTCTGCCCCCAAGCATACCCTGAAATTGCTAGATTCCACCTGACTGAATTGACAGTCTCAAACATCGAAGAAAGGTTGCAGATTTGTCTCTCTTCCATAGATACTTCCACGGGAAGTGTTTAAGTTTGAGTGACCAATACGCGACGGATTGTGGTGTGATCAGTATGGTTTTCGCAGGTCTAGAGAAACAGATGCAGCAGCAACCGATGTAATTTCAAAAACTCAACTGAAATTTACAATAATAAAATATGTTGCCTATTGTCTTCAGATTTGTATAAAGCATTTGATACATCATGATATATTGATCTCAGAAATGAACAATTTTGTCATAAGAGGGACTATCCTTAATTGTTGTGAATTATATGAGTGACAAACAACAAAATATTCGCATAGAAAACACGTGTTGCATTTTTGTACAACTGTTCAAGTGAAAAGCTCACAATAAAGTGTTTTTTCAATACGTTATGGATTTTCATCAAGTATCGGCCAATTCCATCATATAGAATAAACTGACTCTGAATTTCCAAAAATGTTCGTATATGAATATTTCTGAAAGAATATTGCACAGTTGTACCAATACTATAATTATTGATAACAATTCAACAAGTTATACCAATTCTATCAAATTCCAAGGATTATAATATTGATGAAAATGTATCCTGAACAAAACCCATTGAAGTTATCAAAAAAAAATTGCATCTCTCATTGGTTTCGTGATGAAAATCGGGAACTATATTCCTATTAAGATTTAAAAAAATACTCACAACTGCATTATCTAATTTCTATCTGGGTATCAGCCAATAAATTCACAATAAGATTTTTGAAATATTTACAAAATAAAACATACATAATGCATATATGAATNCTATCAGCAAATTTAATGTTCACTGCTCATATCAATTACTCGTGTTTTCTTGTTCAATATTTCATTATTTAGTTAAATTTGTATCTTAAGTTAATTTAGTTTCTTGGGATCATAAAGACACTACAACAATTGAAATATGAAAGAACAACAAATATTTGATCTACTTAGTAAAAAAATGGGACTAACTTGCAGTTTGTTTCAATAACTGAAACATCCCTTGTTATCAAACAAAAGATAACAGTTAAATAAATATGATTCTCATCTTATTTTATATTTATCATAATGCTTTATTCTGTAGATGAGTTTTATTGTTGGTGCCAATGAAGTGAATGCATGTTATCAAAGTGTGCTTCGAATGCAAGACATGAGTAAAATATTTTATGTTTATTGTGCTATTAGTGCGGTTATTTTTGCGTATTGGCTGAAAGTGAAAGTGGAGGATCCTACTTTTCCTTATTTTGAAAATGTAAGCGCTGCTTTCTTCATTTATATTTGGTATTCTTATGGAACTTCTATACTGTGGAGAGAAAACTATAATTCGAATAGTTCGTGAGAATTTGACGGTACAATAATATCGAGAGATTTTGCAATTGTGAAATTTTCAAATGAAACTTCACAAAGCCCAACACATATTGATCTTTTCAGGTTCGTTCAATACTAAACATCAAGTGGATTCGTAAACTTCAAGGTGAAAGTCTCACAATGAAGTGTTGTCCAATATTTTTTAGTGTCTATGGTGGCTGAAATATTTTGGAAATAGTGGCAATGAATTACAACGGAAGTAGGTGTCAATTTGTTCCAAGTGGAACATTCTGAATATTATTAGTTAAATTCAAGATGGATCCTTCTGTATCTGTAGAGTAGGAAGGGTGAGTGTAAGCCCACAGCACTTAGGCTACATGTGACTTATTGTGCATCCTCTCGAGGAGTTGTTCTCCTAGATCATCGTGCATCCTGTCCTTTCCAGAAAGGTGGACAGGTCACTGGAAGATATAACCTCGTGTAGGCCAAGACTCGCCGAACACACACTCTCTCGATGAATTTCACTAGTTCGGACTTCCATTGTCTACTATATAAAATGATTTGAAATCCCTGAAACAAGTAAAAAAAAGAATAATTAAAAAAGAATAAGACGGTACAATAATATCGAGAGATTTTGCAATTGTGAAATTTTCAAATGGAACACAAAGCTCAACACATATTGATCTTTTCAGGTTCGTTCAATACTAAACATCTAGTGGATTCGTAAAATTCAAGGTGAAAGTCTCACAATGAAGTGTTGTCCAATATTTTATAGTGTCTATGGTGGCTGAAATATTTGGAAATAGTGGCAATGAGTTACAACGGAAGTAGGTGTCAATTGGTTGCAAGTGGAACATTATAAATATTATTAGTTAAATTCAAGATGGATCCTTCTGTATCTGTATCTGTAGAGTAGGAAGGATGAGTATAAGCCCACAGCACTTAGGCCACATGTGATTTATTGTGCATCCTCTCGAGGAGTTGTTCTCCTAGATCATCGTTCATCCTGTCCTTTCCAGGAAGGTGGACAGGTCACTGGGAGATATCTCCTTTATAACGGTAGGTGTAGGCCAAGACTCGCCGAACACACACTCTCTCATTGACGATAACTCCGGGCACTCGCATGGGACATGCCTGACATTCTCATCTTCCTGTTCACACATCCTGCATAGAAGTGTATCCACTAGTGCCATATTATGGAGTTGTTTCCTCAGTTGACAGTGGCCAGTCAGAAATCCTTCTGCTAAGCGTAGATTTTTCATTGCCAGATATTTCTTCGGCGCTAGCTTCCCAGGGTCGCCCAAGGTGATCCTGGCAAGATTGCATCCTTCGATTTCATCCCATCTCTCTAGGGATTGAGCATGGGTGTAATATTTGGCTAGTTCCGCAATTAGGTATCGAAGTCATCAGTTGGTAGGCGTAGGTGACACTGGGTCCTAAAATTCTTAGTCCAGCCGCTTCCTTGGCTAAAGAGTCGGCAATGCGATTACCTTCACTCCTGTCGTGCCCTTCAACCCACCTCAGGATAATTTTATTATCTACCGAGGCTTTGGCTGAATCTTGGTGACACTCTAGTACTAACCCTGAGGTTACACATGGTCTGTTCAAGCCTAATAGAGCGTATCTGCTGTCAGTGCAGATTGCTATGTTTTTGTCAGAAATTCCTTTCCTGGTTATTTCTTTTGTGGCGATTGACATACCAGCCGGTTCTATTTGGAATACAATGATATTGTTTCTCATTTCACACTTAATCCTCAGGCTTAGTGATCTGGAGTACACTCCACATCCTGAGCCTTCTTATTTGGTTTTTGAGCCGTCTGTATATATGCGTATTGCATTTGTAGCATCTGACTCTGAGTTTCGTTTAATTTGTATTTTTTAGGGTTTATCAAACACAAGCCTAGGTTCAGTTGCATCACTGATTGCCTGCAGCAAAGGCTGCGCAGTAAGCGCTTCGTGCCATAGGCCCAGTCTGACCCATTCCTACTTCGAGGTTTACACCAGCCGTGCGCAATTAACACAACCTCCTTAACGTACAGGTTCAGAGGGGTCAGACCCGTAATTAATTCCATTTCCGCGTTTCGTGTTGTTCTCATAGCTCCTGTGATGTTTAAAAACAAGCCAGTCGCTGTATTTGATATAATTTTTGAATGACCGTTGCTTGTAGAGCTTTCGGTCCCCATACAATGACTCCGTACGTCCCACTGTCCTCCGACATTGCTCATAAGCCACATATGCTCTTTTTGCTCTACTCTATAGGTGAGAGTTCCATGTTAGCTTCCTGTCGAGGATAGTACCAAGGTATTTCATCTGTTCAGAGAAGTTTAGTTTGCTTTTGAAGATTTCGAGAGGTTTTAAGCCCGATAAACTTCTTTTCCTGGTGAAAACGACCATCTCTGTCTTCTTGGGATTGATCGACAGTGAGTGTTCCTAACACCATGTGTATATCAATTCGAGCCCATCCTGCGCTCTATCGCACAGTGTGTTCACAAATTTGCCGGTCTGCATGGATGGATGGATCCTTTTTCGAATAAAACATACTTCAATAGTTTGTTTGAATGTAGCTACTGATGTTTCTTGATGGATATTGGAGAATTCGTACAGCAAACGCCAAACGTGATAGCGAGCCCGTCCCCTTGCACACAAACTCATTTTCAATGTAACCCTCACTACAGCTCTTGCAAGACATACACATTTTTTGTAAAGAGGCGTATTATTACTTGTCCTTCAATGCTGTTGGCGTTTGGCATTATCCAAATAATTTGTGATGTTTCTGAAAAAATTTCATCACCAAACAAAAAACCAGTCATCAAGAGTCAGGCACGTGAAATGATTTTTGAAGTAATCAATTATTTTTAAAGTGTTGAATGTGAGTTGGATACGCTATCAAATGTGAAGAATAAAAATTTCATCACCAAACAAAAAACCAGTCATCAAAAGTCAGGCACGTGAAATGATTTTTGAAGTAATCAATTATTTATAAAGTGTTGAATGTGAGTTGGATACGCACAAATTTGAAAAATAAAACATATCTCGCTACAGGTAACACTGAATAAATTCAAAAAATAACTATTCCAACACAAAGGTTTATTTTGTATTGAGTATTTCAATGAGAACCATTCAAAGAGTGCTTAAAGAAGGGAGGGAATTAATTTCTGCGAATAACCGAGAAGTAAAATTTTCCGATTGTTAAATGCTATTCATGTTGCAAGTGTTGCCTAAATTCTCCAATCCAATTTTCTTCTCAAAATTTTCAGGACAACTCTCTACTGATTCGTAAGGAAGAGCATGTTTCACAGAATCTGCATAAGAACCATTTCTCAAGCTGTAATCGATCCTTCCAAGTAATGAAGGGTTTCGTAGGGGGATTGATTCGGCTCTTGCTTCATGAAGCTGTTTCACTGAAAGGAAACCAGAACCACGAGGACTACAACTCGTATTTGAGGGGAGAAAAATGATCTAAGTCCATTAACCGCACTGAATAAGAAGAATTTCGATCAATCACTTGCGAATTAACCTTGATAGGAGACTGATGAATATCCACATATTTCGGCTTGTTTCGAAGATATTTTAGTTCCGTACTGAAATTAGGGCAATGCATGATCTCATCAAAATTATGTGAAGGAGGAGTACTTCCAAGGACCGAAGCAGCATAACCACGTTGAGTAACAATACTAATTCCTTCTATCAAAAAAGAAGTAGAACATTGATCTTTTGCTGCTTGACCTATTTTCCTTCCGAGTTCATGAACGAGACTTCGGGCCATAAACACCAAAAATTTCAACCGCTACTGGATGGAACAAATAGTTGTTACCAAAATTTTGGTATTTTTTTCGTTTCAATTTTTCGCTAGACAATGCTGCGGTTCCAGCAGACTTCAAACTTTTGGCTAGATGGGAAGTCGCGACCCTGTCAACGCAAGTGAAGTCCTATATCACAGGTTTACCGTATTTTCAGAGTATGACAGACATGCCATCTGGTCGTTTACCATCATCTCGACTGGTACCTAAGGGTTCCGTTGACACCATAGCTCGTTTCAATATGTCGTTCACCTGATAATGTCGAGATGTACGCCCTGCACTTCTCCTGCAACCCAAACCATGTGTAACGAATTATCTACGACTCTCATAAGTAGGAAGGGTGTAGTAAAAAGTTCCAACAGAAAATCCATGACGGTTTAGGAATAGTGGCTTGCGAAACATCTCTTCGTAGAATTTTAAAGGAAACAAAGAAGTAACTTTCAAACACGAACTGGAAGAAAAAGCCTCTCATAATAACATTGAATGTTGAATATATAAAATGTTGAAGAGATAAAATTCCACTTACATGAAACGTTCTCATCGTCTATGGCGGACACTTCTCTCAATACCTCTTCAGCTAGCATCTATCTGAATAACATAACAAGATGAAGCACTCAATTCATTCATAAAATCACGAATGACTCATATCTTCTCATGTTATCGATGGCATATATCTCATTCTTTGTACAGCTCTGGCTCTGAGAATGACTTCTTACCGAAGAAAAACAAAAGACGGTTTCATTTGCCTACGAGTAGTGGTACTGTCTCTCTCTCGACCACTTCTGGTTCTCTGAGCCAGATCTGAAATCTTCCTCTCAGGGCGTTCATACTTGTGCTAGAAAGATCAAAACAAGTTATTGATCTTCTCAATAACAATTTGATATGAACACCATTTGGAAACGAGTGGTTTATTCGGATTCGATATCACAATGCCTATGACCTTAAAAACAAATATATATGATCCCAACTCTCACCAATGCGGTGATATATCAAAATTGATTGAGTTGATCAACTCTAGATTACTACTATCAACAAAATAAGCTATAGGTTGAGCACCAGAGTGATGGCTTAACTAAAATGTTTCAATTAAAATTTTAGGATTCCTTCAGTAAGGTTATTCAACGGGTACCATTATGCAACTGCA